AAAAGGTGAGTAACTCAAGTTACCAATAGTTATATTTATTGCCCAAATTGCACTTCGTATATATTCATGCCACCAATTTTGTTGTTCTACACACAATTTATGAATAATTCTAGTGAACTTTTGGACTACACGCTCTGCATGACTGTGTGTCTCAGGATAATAGATGGTGACAAAATATTGATCCATATTTAACTAAGATGATAGTTCCTCTATAATTATATTTTTGAACTCAGTTCTCCTGTCTGATACTAATGTGATAAAGCATTCATGGTGCAAGATTATATTTTTCCAAATAAATTGGGCAATGTTTTTAGCATTCTTTTTAACTAGGGCTCTTTCTTCACATATTTGATCAAGTTCTCAATCGCTAACACCATATGTTTATACTTTGTCACAGTATGGGGCAAAGGCTCTATGTAGTCAATGTATACCTTTTTGAAGACCCAACTTGTCGCAGTTACATGTATCAGTTTAGCAGCAATTTTGGGGCATACCTTTAACATTGTTTACAGCTTGACACTTTTCTTTTCATATCTTTGTACATATTTTCGATTCTAAACATACTTCATCTTTACTAAGGTTAGGGTCCTATTAATTTCTCGATGACCACCTTCATTTGCCAATCCTTGATGACATGCCGTTATAATTTCATATTTGTCATGATCATCTAACACAATACACCTTGGGGGCTCCTTTTCTCAATCTTAAGTACAGGTTATCACTAATTAAACAATAACGTTTCAATTTTTTTTTCAATTATGGTAAGTCACATGCTTCTGCGAAAAATACCAAGGCATATGGAACATTATAAAGAAAGAAACAAGCAATGAAGTAAGAAAAAGATTAAGAGAAGATGAGTCCATGAAAGAAGCATCAGATAATTCAAAGATAAAGAAAAGTCTATTCGGTACAACTATCGAAGAACAAATTGAGACAAGAATCCATATGATTAGAGGCCTAATTAGGAAAGAACAGAGGCAAAGATTAGAAAAGATATTACAGGACAGAAATGCAGCTAACAAGTTAATAGGCATAGCACTTAATAAATTCAGTGAGAGATTCTATTAGCACATTTGGAACTTTAGATATAAACTATAAAATGAATGAGAAAAAAGAAACAGAATCTCAAAGAAGGACAAGAAAAAGAAAAAGAATATGAAAGAAAAAGTAAAAAAAAGACAAGAAGGCCAAAAGAACAAAGAAAACCAAGAACAAATGAAAAGACAGATTGCAAAGAAGAAAGAAAATATAAAAGATACCACATTAAAAAATATTAAGAATTTGGTATGATGGGGTAAGAAACCAGATTGGTCTTCATAGATTAAATATAAAGTAAAATTAAATGAAAATAGCAGTACTGACAAGGTAAGTAGTTGTCAGCCTATGACTGAAGGGAATAAATCCTTAGTAAGTTAAGGATCCAGAAAGAGGCCAAGGACTACTGAGGCAGGTCGCACCTGGGTGAAACTGAGGGTGAGTCTCTTGTTTGGTTAGATTAGCAATAGCTATAGATAAAAATATATAAATCTTGAATAGCTTAATCTCAAATAAATAGAGGCAGGATTGCTGAATTATAAAAAAAAAAAGTAAAGTTGTATACTATATATATGTGAGTACTCTGGTATATATAGTATTAGGTTATAGTAACTAGAAGTAAATAGTGTTTTTTAAATATACTGTACTATTATTCTATCATAGAGTCTGCAATCTACTTAATAAAGGTTCATATATTACTATGGTAACCATAGAGCCTAAAACAAGATCTTGCACTACTTCAACAGCTGTAAAACCTAACTGCTAAGGTTTTTGTATTGCTACTACAGTCTAATTGTTACAAAAACTAGGTGTTCTACTTATAGACAGATATTTATTTAATTAGCTGATATAAATCAATTGCTTGAGTAACTTATTTATATACTTTAAAGTACTTTTTTTAAAAATGTAATATTTACTAACAAAGATTTACCATAAAAATTATCTTAAGCTTCAAATAAACACTAATTTTAACTTTACAAAATAATCCCAAATAATCTTGAATAATTTTTAAATTTGAAAACTTTTTTAGAAGGTGAAATTTACATCTTATTTATTGAACAATACAAAGTTATTTCATAAAAACACTATATATGATCAAAAAGTAATCAAAAAATATGTTTTTTAATAACTCAACTAAGTTAATTTAAATAAGTCACTACTAACTATTTAGCTTGATATAGTAGATGCAAATTTATTATAATGAAAGAATTAGGTTTTATATTTAAATTTGTTTTTATAATATTTATAAATCTATTAATCATAGATAATAGATTTGAGTTTATTGATAATAAAATATTTAAAGTACTTACTTGGTTTTGGTAAAAAAATATTGTTTCTCATATTTCATTCATGATATATTTTAGTCATATAACATAAAATTTTGTTCTTGTTTCTTTTGTATAATATTGCAAAATGCAAAATATCAAATATTAAAAATAATATAATTTGATTAGTTAATTATCACAGGTAATTATGAGTAAATCTACAAAAATTAACTAATTAAACAAATGTCTTCCTATAAGTATTACACTACTACTGCAGCTGTGGAGTCTAATAATTAAAATCTTTGTATTGCTATTGTAGCCTCAAAGCCTAATTACTACAAAAACAAAATTTCTGTACTACTGTAGCCTCAGAGTCTAATCACTACAAAAACAAAATTCTTATACTACTGCAGCAGCCACAGAGCTTTATAGTTACAAAAATAAAAAACTAAAACAAAACAAGGTTCTTATATGCCACTGCCTAATATTAAACCTTGTCATACAAGTCAACCATCAAGTGATTAAACTTATTGTAGGTCACTGTACTGTATAGATAGGATAGAAAAAATGATAGAGAAGCCTTTCTATAAGGCAAGTGATAGCAAAGAGTAAAATAAGCTTTTTTTTACTAAAAACATTACCCTTAAATATACTACATTTCATCTCTCTCTCTCTGTTCTATTAATCTAATTTATATTTGAAGCCATATGAAAATACTTCTTTACATTAGTACTAATTTGTTAATATTTATATCTGTTTGCTATTTAATGATCATAATCTTAACTAAAAAAAAACCTAATCTAACAAGAACAACACATCAAACTATTACAGTCATAAAAAGTCTTTCTTAGTAATTAAAAACAGATAATTAATATTTAATAACTTTTAATTACTATAATTATCATTGATGAGATGTTCTTAACAAAAGAAATTTAATTTTTTAATAATAAGTAGCCTGTCATCAAATTGTAAAATCAGATGACTTTATAGATCACATGCTTAGATTCAATAGTTTAATTAATAGCACAGATATTTTTGATATATAATTAATTAGTAAAAATAATTAAAAGTGGTGAAAAATTAGTAAGTTCAATATGTTGATTAATTGTATTTATAATAAGATCTATATATAAAAATAATTAAATTAAATCAATTATATTGTTGGCAGCCAATAAAAATTTAAGAATTAATACTCTCTATATAGTCACACCTCTATATAATTACCAAATTTACTAGAACTGAGAGTATAACTATAGAAAGGTTAGACTGTACAATCAATTTTTAACAACTTTGTTAATAGGTTAATTATAAGTATTATAGCCACAAACTTCTTGTTTAGATATAAAACTTTTTTTTGATATTCATGCATCAAAAAATGATTCATTCAAAAGTTAAACACCAAAAATAGATTAATATTTCAATTACTTTCAAAATAATATAATGTCAATAAATATATATTTAGAAGAAAAGCCTTATTTGCTAAAAAAAAGACTAATTGCATTAAAAACTTAGTATTTTATTATTACTAACCATATTATATATATAATTAAACTTGATATATATAGTATTATTAACCTTTATAATCACAACAGTATTTGTTTGCTTGTTATATTTTGTCTAGAATAATTCTCTAGTAAACAATTCCTAATATTATAAAAAAATTCAAACTTATACAGATTAATTGTTACTGAATACATTTTAGTTTTCTTATCAATTCATATTGCAATTTTGGTTGTATATTTTTTATTAATAATTAGTGAAATTAGTTTCTATTATATATATAAAAATAAAAGTTCAAATTAGTTTATTTGTGATCTAAACCTACTAAAATAGTTAAACTTTATTTAGATTTAAATAATTAATATATAATTAGAAGATATACTATATTTAATTTACAAAGTAGACCAAATATAAATTTTACAACTTACTTAACCAATAGAAAGGCAAGTATTAGAATTTATATATAATTGATTATAAAGGCTACAAAGATATAAATAAGTATAGTTTTGACAAAATAAAGATGTTTAATAGTTGTATTAGATTATATTAAAAGTTGATTAATAGGCTAAAGCTAGAGTACATTTTGTTGTTTTTTTTTAATTTAAAAAATGAATATAATATATTTTCCATAATTGTTTATTAATATCAAGAAGAATATTAATAATTATTTGTAAAGTTATCTTGTATAAAATATTAAAGTTTTGAATAGTTAATATAAAAGATTTTGAAATAAGCTCTTTAAAAGTTAAATTAGGATAGAATATAAGGTAGTATATATGAAGAGTTAAAAGTTAAATAGTAAAGAATTTTGTTAATTAGGTCTTGCTATTCTCTTGCAAATGACACGCGTAATACAATAAAATTCAATTATACGTGTTGTTTAAATGAATATTTATCTCTTAAAATAACTACTGCCATGTATAACGTTACACTTTCTAATTTATATAAGGGTAATTAATGATGCATAAGATAACATTAATGAAAATAAATTATTCTTGCTCAAGTTGTACTGTTTCAGAAATCATTTATAAAATGAATAATCAACACCAAGCAACTTGCGCCCATTCCATTTGAAGCAGAGTCTGGTAATCTGCCTTCGGCCCTTACTCACATTTTGTATTATGCATTATATTTTATTTAAGCACCATGAAATCCAAAGTAAAGACAAAAAAACCTCTCTGAACAAAATAAAAATTAAACATGTTGTCTACCATTAAACGTAAAAAATACTGCAAAGATGACGAACTCCATCAGAAGATAAATTTTTATTCAAAAAATTAAAACAAGGCAATCACTACGTGAGTAAACCAAAAGTTATATTGATCATTGATTCAGATGACGACCTGAGAGCACCAGAAGTTGACTCAGATGATGATCTTCCATCAGAAGATGAAATTTTATTCAACAAATTAAACCAAGAAAATCACTACGTGAGAACACGAGATGTTATATTGATCACTGATTCAGATGACAACGAACTGTCTACCACGGCTGCAAATAATAATAATAATGATTTTACGTATATCATCAACAACGATCGTTCTCTCAGAATCAGTAAGAAGGATATACGAGCCAATTTAAACCGATTGGTAAGAAGACTCAAAACTAAAAAGGCTATTAAACATATCATCGATATATGTAAACATAAAGAAAAATACGAGTATTACAAAAAGTTCAAACCACTGTCCAAATTGCAACTCTGCCATTCCGCCAAAGTACTTGAGATCAATTATTTAGTTCCTGGATATTATGAAATGAAAGGGTTCACAATAATGTACGAACATTTGATGGAAAACACAAAAGTGTGGCAACCTAAAGAACAGATATAAATAAACAACAATTCATGGAAGAGGTTATCATTCCCGAATTGGTGTTTGGTTCATAATGGAAGATCTCGAGGTTAAGGTTACAATACCGCTCTAAAAATCATGAGTGAGAGTGTTGAATACGGTAATAACCATTTTTTCGGAAACCGTTGTTACGATCGTCATTAGAAATTTTCACCACTGACTCGACGATCGTTAAATGATTGATTACCGTGGCAATAACTTAAACTCGCCACCCCTACGATAGTTATCCCTGTGCTGTGGCTTCGATACCTAAATGATCTTCTCTTTTAAAGATCGTATTACTGAACATTTCTTTTTTTTCTTGTTTATCCATTTCCATTTTTATATCTTCTATACATAAATTTTATTATTACTATATTTATTTCTTTCTCAATCCAT